TACATCTGAAATCAAAAAAATCTCGATGAAATAAACCTTAGTTTATTGTATAGACTGCAAAACGTATATAACCTGCAATCATGGGGCCAACAGTGATACCTGGTACAACTCTAACTTTGTAATTAATGTACTCCTTACCTTTGACTCTAGCATTTCTCACGATATTTCGTTTCCACTTAGCTTCATTCTTTACTTTTCTTCCGTGGCTGGTACTGCTTGGTTCGTTATCCATCGCATTTTTTAAAAGAATACAATAAAATGATGCCAAATATAACTTTAACCTCACAAGACCAATCATCAAACATGTGGTTATTTAATTTTATTAGAGATTCACAGAATATACAGGATTCATTAATACAGTACAAACGCATATGTTAATAGTGTTGCTTACAAAAACATTCTGAGTCACTGAGATAGAATCCTTTAGTCTACTATGATATATTTCAGTTTTCTATTTAACATACATGGAGAGTAGAGACTTAGAATGTTTTTGTACCAAAAGATGCGCTTTTGTTCATAGAACAATTTTCCATCAAAATGTCAAAAATGAAAAAAAAAAACGACTTAGAATGTTTTTGTTTACACCGATTCATTTATTCTCTTCACTAAAAGACGATTTAAATCAATTGTCCGCCTTAATTTACAATTATACGAATAGTTTTGGCCCCTAAAAGATTAAAATAAACCAACGACACAAATTTAAAAGTGAAGTGGAGGGTAAGTCGAACTTGAATCCAAATTTTCATGCAATTTGGTGGTGACAAGGAAAATTATACGGTATCACCGTATTTCACGTTCATTTACTGGCTTGCTACCGTTCAAAGTTTTAAGCCAATTCTTTTCTTTGGTAATTTTGAATTCTACAACTAACTTATGATTTAGAGGCATCATTTCGTTTGATGTTTCCTTGACCTAAAAACTGTGTGTATTTTTTTTATTAAAAAAATCATTCTAAAATAGTGTGGTTTTTATTAGAATTCAGCACTACTGGTTCCACTTTAATCATTCATTGCATTTAAATATATTACAAAAGCAATACATATATCTTATCAAATATAGTTTGCTCTCAGCTACAGGGTGTTAAACATGTAGGCAGTGTGACCAACTTTAGTAGAAAACTACTTTCTTAGTAGATTTTCGACATAAATTAACAATTTTTAGTAGAGTAGAAATCTTTAGTAGATTCTAGTAGTTTTAAAGACAGAGGCATCGATGAGTAAATTCTTTAAATACATTAGAAAATGTTGAATATTTCAGTGTACATCATTTTTCGAGAGATCTATCTATCTATCTAATTAGCCTTCTTCGGTCCATCTTTGGACATAGGCCTCCCCAATCCTTTTTCATTCTTCTCTGTCTGTCGCTACTGTCATCCATCTAGAGCCCACGTGCTTCTTGATATCATCTGCCCATCTCATTTGGGGCCTTCCTCTGCTTCGTTTATATTCATACGGTCTCCAACTTATAAGAATTTTGTTCCATGGGTCTTCTTTTTGTCTTATATTGTGTCCGGCAAATCTCCATTTCAATTTTGCAACTTCTTGTCTAACATCCCTCACTTTTGTTTTCTCTCTTATCCACTCGTTTCGAGAGAAGTGTCGATAAAATAAAGGTAGATTTATATGATTATATGCTTTAGTAAAATATACCCATCACACGGATTCCACTATGATTTTTTAATACAAGATATAGAGAATGAATACAGGGAATTGAATCTTGATACAGAAGTTTTGGGCTAAAGTTAAGTATCTAAACCGATTAATACTGATGGAAACCTGGTTGTTAGTAGATTCTTTAAAAAATAAGTCACACTATAAGTAGATACAATTAGAATAATGGTTCTTTGATCAATAAGAATATATTATTAGTTATAAATAACGATAAATACGAATATTTTATTATGATTTGACCTGTAGATGGCGAAACGTATGCTATTTCATACAGACGAAATTATCAACAAAAATAAGTTTCTCTAATCGAAACTCATACAAAACATTGAAATAGCTAATTGTACAGGGTGTTAAAAAACGCTACTCGTCAGGAAAATTTATTTTTCTTCAAACGTCAAATAATGATGACATTACTTATCTAACTTGATCCTGTCAAAGTTTGATGTCTCCGCCGGCAGCAGTTTTTTTTCCCATTTCTTTACGGCGGAGGGAACAATGTTGTCATGGCAACAATATGAAACATGTCACAAAGCAACAATACAAATGTCATTAACAACAATTAAACATCATTTTTATTTATAGTAATATTAAAAGTACAATTAGATAATGAGGCATTTTCAAAATTGAAACCGTGCAAAAATGTTCCCGACTCTTGATAAGCATTGGTAATTGTTGATGATACTGATGGTCGAGAACAACTTTCAGTAATCATTCCCGATGTTGGCAAATCATGAGGGTTTAAAATTTTTTGAGCATTATCGTTCTTATTTCTTATTGAATCCTCTATATATCCTTCGGCAACCGTGCTTTATTTCCAGCCCCCATGCTGTTTGAGGCATTCTAGATTTTCGCCTCCATCAATTAAAAGTGTTGCTAAAGTTCATCGTAAAGAGTGACCCGTGTATGCGCTTGCATCGTTTAAATTTAAATAACTAGCTACTTTTTAGGCTACTGCGCTGATCGAATGTATTCCCATGACGCTTCGGTAACACTTTCCATTTTGGTACTTGATAAAAAATCGGGTTTTTGTGAAATTTTCAGGCCGCAGTGATGCATACTTTTTATACAGTTTAATGTAGTTTTGACTAATTATCGTAAAATATCTAATCTGTCGTGTTTTACTGTCTGGAATTTTGATAATTATTACATTTTCTTTATCCTCAATGTCCACAGTCTTCATTTTTATCATTTCGTCGCATCGACAGGCGCCGGTAACCCCAATTAACAAAACAATCTGAAATATTTTTATAATCTAGTAGAGTATACTACATGCTTTGCAATATAAGTTTTTTTACCTTTAATCCTAAATACAACTTATCTGGCGCTTCAAACAAAAATTTATCAAACTCGTCTTTAGTGAAAACTTTTGACTTCTTTGCAATATATCCTTCGCTTGTTTTTTTCAGAAAGGCACGTAACTTTAAAAATTTGCTTATATCCACATTTTTTTTTAATTACTAACTCGGATTTTATCCTAGAATATCGTGACCACATTGTAGGAGATTTCCGTTTATTTTCATTTTCCATTATATTAAAATATGCCAGTAAAACGTCTTCGGTAACTTGCCGTACTCCTCTTGTATCGCACCACTCTTGGAAGTGCTTGTACGCTAACCGATATTTTATTCCGGACTTGGAGGGCCCCAAACGTGCTACTGCATCATTAGCCGCGGACTCAATTTCGTTTAGGTTTTCCATTTTCGCACTAAATTTGCGCTTGTGGTTGCAACAACAATAAGCTGTCTTTAATAATTGCAAACAACTGTCAAACAACTGTAAGTAGGGAGACGCAAATCCCACCGACGACTTAATTATTTTAATTTCTAACATCTAGATGACTTTGATAGTTGTCACAGTTAATTTCGAGTAAAAATAGCGTATGAATTGTACTATTTATGGTTGAAAATTGCTACGTTTGAAGAAAAAATAGTATACTTTATTCGGCAAAGAAGCGACTTTTCTCGACTTGCCCTCTATTAAGCGCCTCACTTCGTTCTTCGCGTAATATCGGGCGCGTCAAGAAAAGGCATGCTTCTCCGCCTCAAGTAATATATTATTATTGTTAAATAAAATAAATTTAATATTACAATACTTAATTACATTAAAAAAACATTTAAAATAAGTACCTAAAATTTAATTTATTACACATCATACGATAAGAAAAACAACAACCACGCTAGGGTTAGCATACAATTGTTACACTTCTACATTAGTTAGTCTTCTCCATTTTCTCTCTACTACTTTTCACGAAACATTCTGCGAAGTATCTTTCTTTCCCATGTTTGCAATCTGTTGTTTTCCTAAGTATAGTTTTGTATACTCTTATTTTTGTATTACGAGATATGTATCTTTATCCCTAATTATTTTGTTCATATCCTTATCACATCTGTTGTTCTTGTTCCGTGTCAGGTTGATTTCAGTTTCTTCCTTACATGTCTGATCAATAAGGGTACCTACCTAGGTATGCATATTTATCCACCTTCTCGAAGTCTACAACTAATCCTTCCTTCACCTCTAATTTAAAGGAGCCTCTGGTGTTTATTCCTTTTTTGCTCGAGATTTACATGCACTCGGATTTATTAATATTAATTATCAGTCCCATTTTAGACCTTTCTCAAATCAGTCTTTGTGCTATACTTGCTAATTCTTTTCCATTTCTTGCAATGAGAGCCACATCATCAACCTAAACATTGGTGTTCTTTATAAAAAAGAGTGCCGGACCTGTTTTTATCCCACGAACCCTTATATTTTTTTAGAACTATACTAAATAGCAAGAAAGACAAAGGGTCTCATTGGCGAACACTTTTTTTCACTTCGAATTCTTCTGAGACTGTACCATTGTATTTCACAACACAAATGGTTTCTCTAATTTTTATTTTTACCAATCTTACTATTTTTCTGACACTTGAAATTCTTTTAGCGTTTCTATTAATTTGTTTCTGTCTATTGTATTGTACGCGGCTTTGTAATCAATGAAAAATACTTTTGCTAAATGTATTCATAGCTATTGATCAGAATTTGTTTTAGCATAAAAATTTGATCGGTTGTTGATCTTCCCTTGCAAACTCCTCCTCGGTATTCTCCCTGATTATTCACCACATTATTTATAATCGTTGTTTAATTTTTAAGGCAAACACTTTGTATATTACCTCTACCAAAGATATTCCTCTATAGTTTGCGCATTTGTTTTATCTCCCTTTTTATGTATAGAAATTATAATGGACTTGTTCCATTCTTCGTTCGTTCAATTAAAAAATATATAAGTATAATATTTTGTATTTTATATTTGTTATTTTTCGAAAACCAAATTTAAATCTTCTAATATTTCAGATCAGAATCAGTAACTTCTTCAGACAGTCAATCAAACTGGCTATCAACACCAGAATATTTAATGCAACAGCACAATCTATACTTTCCAGATAGCGTTAGTAATTCACCCATTTTGCAGCCGAAACAGGTTCACAAATGTAGAAGATTTAGCGTAGATCTCAGCCAAATGCGGTAAGTATAGATAAGATAATCCATATACTTAATTCCTAACTCTAGCTGAAATAAAAACTCGTCATATTTATTGTACAATACTGAGGACAATATTTAAGCAGCAATCATTGTTGTTTATCATTTTATTTTATCTACCACACTAAACCGAAAAGTTTTGGTGCTGATTACTGGCACTACTCTTTGTTTTGGCCAATTAATAATACTAAATAACTCATTAATTATTAATAATTAAATAATTATTATTTCTTAATCGTTATAAATACAGCAGCTGTGATTTTTTAAACAAATTAAGTTAACTTCACTTCTATTGGTCATAGAAAACTTTTTTTAATCTTTGTCTTGACTTATAGTAATCTTTGTCTTGAAAAACCTTCTGAGCAATTATTTTGCTCCTACATAAAAATATACTTAATTGACCAACAAGAGAATCCGTTTAAAATTATATCTCTTTTAATTTAGAAAAAAGTTCTATCCCTGTAAAATTTATAAAAATTTAGGATTTTTTATAAACAATTAAACGTATCCCGAAAATGAATTGACCGATCGGATGTTAGGAAGTCTCATTAAATTTAAAATATAAATAGCTATAATATAATGCTTTTTGCATAAAAAAAAAGAATTTTTACAAAAGTTATTTAAAAAATTAAAGGTGGCAAAAAATTCACAATTTTGGACATTCAATCGTTAATATTGCATAAGAGAGAGAATGAGAGAAAGAGAGAGAGAGAGAGAGAGAAAGAGAGAGAGAAGAGAGAGAGAAGAGAGAGAGAGAGAGAGAGAGAGAGAGAGATGGCATTAGACAAAGAATCTTTTTGCCACAGGAAAGTGTTACAAGGATGTTTAAATTTTTATCTTAGAATGATTTATAAACTTGATTAGAATATTATATATGCATTTGTCACAGTAAGATAACAGATTGCTGATGTTAACTGGTAGGCTAATGTTAAGATCGATTTAACCTAAATATAGGCTCCGAGTCTGTTCCCTATGATTAAAACAATCGAAAAATGTGATTCAAATCTCCGATAGATTTATTATTACACGCACAGAAGGGAGTTTCATACATTCCAATCCTATGCAAATGCGCTGGAAGGAATCCATGTTTAAATTTTAGCCGGGTTATCAACGAGGAATGTACTTTAATATAGTTAAAATGAAAATGGGGAATATTTTTTGGTAAGCATGTATGAAAGTGTAAGAACTATGAGAGGGCCGGACAGCGACACTGACCATTTTCTCGTAAAGGCCAAGCTCAGAACAAGAATTTCAATACAAACAATAGATAAACACACAAAGATCGAACGATGGAATGTGGCGAAGCTGAAAGAAGAAAATAATCAAAGACAGTACCAAGTAGAATTAAGAAATAGGTTTCAGGTTTTGGAAATAAATGAAAATAAAAGTGAAGATATAGATCAGCGATGGAACTCAATAAAAACAACTATTACAGAAGCAGCAGAAAAATCTATCGGAAGAACGAAAAAAACAAAAAAGAAAAAATGGTTCGACGACGAATGTGAAAGAACTCTAAAAGAAGCAAACAACAGAAGAATTGATTATCTGTCGAATCCATCAGAAAAAAAACGTATACGATTCCACAGGGAGAGAGCCGCAACTAGAAGAACACTTAGACAGAAAAAGAGACAATATCTGCAGCAACAAATCGAAAAAGTAGAAGGAGAACACAGACGAAATCAAAGTAAAAATTTCTACAGAGAGGTAAGACAACATAAGAGAGGCTCGTATATAAGCACACCCAACTTTGTAAGAGATAAAAATGGAGAAATGCTCGCTGCTGAAAACAAAATAATAGAAAGATGGGCTGAATATTTTGAAGAGCTGCTGAATATCCAAAATTTCACTGATGAAAACAATGAAAATGGTAAAAACAACGCAGAACATGAGTATCAAATCGTTGAATTAGAAATACCCCCACCAAGCATGGAACAAATTACGCATGCAATAAAAACGCTTAAAAACGATAAATCCATGGTCTGGACAATATTGATGCCGAGCTAATTAAAACAGGCGGTCATGAACTCATAAGTAAAATCCATCAATTAATAGAAATGGCCTGGCAACAAGAAATATTGCCGAAAGAATGGTGTGGTAGTATTATTGTACCAATACACAAAAAAAGAAAAAGGTGTCATGCATGTACTATAGAGGAATCTCACTAATCAACACTACATATAAAATAATGGCTTCGATATTATTAATAAGATTAGTACCATACGCCGAAGAAATAGTTGGTGACTACCAGTGTGGTTTCAGGCCTGGCAGATCGACTATTGATCAAATATTTACAATAAGACAAATGATTGAAAAGTATTGGGAATATATTCACGACGTGCATCAGATTTTTATAGACTTCAAATAGGCTTATGATTCAATTAATCGTGCAACATTATGGAAGGCAATGATCGAGCTCGGCATACCCAAGAAACTAGCTACGGTAATACAAATGTGTGTAAGTAACTCTTTTGCACAAGTTAGAATAGGGGGAAAAATATCAAATGCTTTCTGCGTAAATTCTGGACTGAGACAGGGAGATCCGTTGTCCCCATTGTTGTTTAACCTGACCTGGAATATGTCATGCGAAAAATATATCCAAAAATCAAATCAGACATAACTGCTCGGGGAGCAAAAATCATACTCGCCTTTGCCGATGACGTAGACGCAGTAGTACAATTAGCATTAGAAATTAAGGATATCTTCTCGAGCTTTGAAGAAGCTGAGTTAAACATCGGTCTAAAAATAAATGAAGACAAAACAAAATACATGGTCTCTCAAAACAAGAACGACGGCGAATAAGGCAAAACATTACCATAAATGATCACAACTTTGAAGTGGTTAAAGAATTTAAATATCTAGGAGCAACAATCACAAATGACAACAAATTAAAGCGAGAAGTTGAAACGAGAATAATGGCAGGAAATAGATCTTTCTTTGCAATGCAACATCTGATGAAGTCGAAACTTCTTTCACGAGGTGCAAAGATCCGGATATATAAGACCATAATACGACCAACAGTCGCATATGGAAGCGAAACATGGACGATAACAAGAAGAGAAGTAAATAAATTGCTGGTATGGGAACGTAAAATTCTTCGAATGATATATGGCCCTTGCAGAGACAGCGTGACAAACGAATGGAGGGGCAGATACAATAACGAGCTAGAGTCTCTATTCGAAAAAGAAAATCTAGTCAGATATATAAAGGCCAATAGACTCAGATGGGCAGGACATGTGATACGCAGTAACGACAATCGCCTTATAAACAATCTGTTCTGGGAAAGGCAGATGGAAGAAGGTCTGTAGGGCGGCCTAGAAAAAGGTGGAAAGATGAAGTCAGAGAAGATCTAGAGAAGTTGGGAGTGCGACAATGGGAATTACTGGCACAGGACCGACAAACATGGAAGGCAATAGTAAACGCGGCAAAGACTCACGAAGAGTTGTAGCACCATTGATGATGATGTCTTAATAGAAAAGTAATGGTTTCTTGAAGTCTTCTGAACCTCTTTATATTTCGACATCATTCTTTCCCTACCAATACTCCTGATAATAGACAAAAGATCTTTAAAGTAGTAAACGTTTGTAATTTCGGATATCTCAGATGTATTTGTTGCCTAATTAATTAATTCTATTTAACTGTTCCAATTACTCCACTGTGTACTTTAACCCCAGAGTAAAGTAACTATTTTTTTGTGAATTTTAGTTCATGTGTCATAATTTTTTAATATCAAGGATAATAAACTATCTAATGGATGGCTACGTATAGCTTGTAATACTGCCTGAAAATCTGATACTATTACGATGTTCTCACAATAATTAGTGACACACCAAGTTAGTGCTTTCTTTAGCAGCAGCCTCGGCTGTAAAACTTCAGGAATTCGATATTTCTCAACATAATTGGTGTTTGAGACAAAAAATGCGTAACCAGCACTTATCAGTTTTTGTTCCGTCTGTATGAATTATTGTTAAATCTTCCCCTAATTTGCTTAGTATGGATTTAAATATCAGATTAGTAAAAATTGGCAAGTCTGAATAAGAGAGTAATATAATGATAGGTATCAGAACTTCAAGGTCATGTTTATAAAATAGTAAATTTTGCTAGCTATAATATATAAGATGGAAATGAATTCGTAATAATAAAAGATTCTGCAAGAGGAACAGAATTTTTTATTCTCCCGTAGGAGTTTGTTAAATTTTCTGTAAAAAAAACCTATTTATCTGTAGACCTATTTATCTGCAACTGTTATTAGACGTTTGTTGGCTAACATTTGACTATGTATGTGTAAAGGTGGTTCTTGGGCTTCAATTAGAACTGCTTGGTTTGATGAAGACACCATAGCCCCTATACTTTGTTTCAAGTTCAGAAAATAACATTACGCTTATGAAGATCAGTGTTGCCAAAACTCTCAGGCACTCTCCTTTGCACGGATGTCCAAGATATTCCCTTGGCTTAATTTTTGAATTTCCATTTTCAATTAACATTTAACTGTAAAGTCAGAATAACTACTATAGCCATAACCCAGAATGGATCGTATCTAGGATCTATAAAACATTAAAGAGATCTGCACCTCATCTTTTTTCACATCCATGCTCGCACTTTTGTTTTACATACTGGACCACAAGAGTTTTTTATCTAGGATTATGTCTAGATACCTATACTCTGCCTAGATTAACAGAATCATTTAATTGTAACTTTCTTTGTTGTAATGACTTTATTACATCTGGTAAAAACTAAAATTAACTTTTATGAACATAATAAGTACATAGCAATTTGTACAAGTTCTTGACTTTCAATTAAACACTTTGAGTAATTTCGAATATTTAACACAATGTCATTTATGACATCAAAATGATTTAAGTAAAAAATTGCTGCTTTACAATTGCAAGATTTACACCTTATAATTTTTTGTAGATTTGCACACGTTAACGTGCTTTCAAAAATACTTTTTTAACGTTTGAAATGAATTTATTGACTAAATCAATTTC